CCATTTGATTTTTCTTTCCTTAAATTTCGGTTATGGATCAAGTGTTTCAGTCTAGGATTATCCCTACAGATTCATTCTTTGTGTAGGACAGAATTTTTGATATTCACGGGCTATTATTAGACTTATTATTATTATTAAAGCTGTTGCAGAATGTTTTCATGTGTTTCGATTTGGAAATTTTTTTTATTCAACTTGGATGTGTAGTAGTCTTCTTGTTTTTTCATATAGGAATGATATTGAGCCGTGTTTTCACTGAAAAAGAAACTTGGTTCCCTATTAAACCAAATTCATGAACCGTCATGGAATCTAAAAATTAATTGTGTTGGTCTTTTCTGATACGTTTAACGTAATAAATGAGTTCTTTCATCATCATAGTTTCTCTTTAATTCTTTATTAATCATTCCCATATTGTACTTATTCTTTATACTAGACACCGTGAAAAGACTGTCATAGAATGGCTTATATGCTAATTCCTCCAGAAGTCTGATTCTTCAGTATTCCACTCTGTCCAGTATTTTTTTATCTAATTCCACATAAGTTGACCAAACTTTTCGACCAATACATGATAATCTATACCAAGTGTTTCAGTCTCATACCTACATACGGATTTTTGATATTCACTAGACTTACTTAATGGCCGAAGTGGTTTCACTTTTTTTATTCAACTTCATGTGTAGTAGTGGCCTTGCATAGGGTGATATGACTAAAAAGAAACCCTTAAACCTCGTCATGGGAATTAATTGTGTTGGTATTTCTCATACGTTTCTATAAATGAGTTCTTGCCATTCTTTATTAAATTTTAGATTTGTGCTATATTAAAATTTAAATACATTACTTTTACTCTAATTTTGTATAATAGAAGGTCTATTGTCTATGACACGTATTTAACTCAGTCAATTTAAACATTTAAATACACACACACACACACAGTGTAACCCGGATATAAGAGAGTTGTCGGGACCGGAGAAGAGGTCTCTTATATCCGAGTTTCTCTTATATCCGGGTTTGGTCTATTTTATATACATTAACACAGGCTCTAATTTGGGACCAGAGAAAGTCTCTCTTATATCCGAGGTTTATCTTATATCAGGTCTCTTATATCCGGTCTATTATATCCAGGTTATATATATATATATATATATATATATATATATATATATATATATTGTGGCGAATTTCCGGCTTTAAATCGATAGATCAAAATTATATATCCATATATATACTATTTTTTTGAGTAGAAATTTGAAAAATGAAAATAAGAAAAGGAAAATTAAAAATTGTTTTTTCGAAGATATTTTGGTATGGACAAGAACTTTTCAGCTGTTCACTATAAATAAAAAAAGTAACCTTGGGCGTGTGTTTTTGTGTGTGTGTCTTTGTTTGTGTATATCTGTGTGTGCATGCGTGAATGTGAATGTATGTGTACAAATATATTTTAGTTCTGATTATGCTTGCACTTTTTTTTAGGAATATTCTATTTTTCCAAAAAATCATTTTTTATTTGAAATGGACGTATACGTTTCTAGCCACAGGCAATATCCGTGATATACGTCGATCGTAATCAATGATTAGTCTCTGGGGAAATTATCTGAAGATAAATTAAGCCTTAATGCATACAAAACATTACAAAAAAAAAATCCAATATCTATTTTTTGACCAAGCACATTTGTGTCATTTTGTCTAGACTCTGGACTGCCTAGTTTAATCAATATGTAATTACAAGCTTGCAAAACAATATATATTCCCGTTTGTATTGCCTTGACTCATACCCTTACATTGATTAAATGACAAATAATATAAATACTTCTGTTAATTAGATTTCTCTAATTACCATGTTAAATAATCATAATAATTACAGAAAAATATGATATGGGAGGGAGGGAAATTTAAATTTAACCTGAGCGCTCTGACCTAGCCAGATTTACTTATAAGAAATAAAATAATAAATATTGTCGAAAAATGAAACTTAGAAGACTTAGCGGGACGAGGCTAAAAAAAATAGCCTGAGAGAAATCAGTATAAATATGTAATCCCTGCCGTAGATCTCTATCTATAAAAGGCAGGTTGTGTGTGTGTGTGTGTGTGTGTGTGTGTGTGTGTGTGTGTGTGTGTGTGTAACAAATGCACGGTCGCAATTTTTGACAGATCTGCACCAAAATCAACATGCACATGCTCCAAGTTAGTGGGAAGGCCAAGACCAAATTTGCATTTCCTAACTCCCATCGATAGTGGAAATAATCGATTTTTTCATGCTTCTACGGCAGTTTTCATGTAGTTTGTGGCCATTTTCTACTGGCCAGAGTGAGAGCTGGTTGCCACGAATAGGCAAGAAGATTCTATTGGCCAGCATGAGAGCCAACAGCTGACTGACACGAATGTTAGCATGCAAAAAAAAATCGATAGCTGCATTCGTCACAAGTGGGAAAAATTTAAATCTGCATGGCACTTTACTCCAATTGGCTCATTCGCTTGCTTAAACTCAACGTTGATTCTGATTCCGCAGAACTTGGTTGGGTGTGAAAAGTATTTGTTGTTAACATTCTTTTTTCATTAGGTTTTTCCAGTTACGAGTCTTATTTAAAGCTAATCGTTTTGTGTTCATTTTGTTTAGTTCTTTTTTCGGAACAGATTTAATGCTTAGAATTGGGCTTAGAAAAAATTCGCAGTGTGAGATAGGCAAGAAGTAAGGCATGTAGCAACATCAGCACGGCAAAGGGCACTCCTTTAAAGGCAAGGAAGGGCAAAAATATTTTAAGTCAAGTGATAGCGATTGCTGTATGAGTCGTACGATTTTTGAATCAAGCACGGGCAACGCCGGGCCATGCTGCTAGTCTAAACTAATTATAGAACAATACGTTAACTATGAAGTAATTAAAATGAGTCCGACAGAAAGAACTGTAAATCTGCAAAGAACTAAATTTGTTTTAAAAGAGCAATCTTCTTTTAGATGCAATGTGCCATAATAGCTCTTAGGTCTATATACTAATTATATATAATAATTAATAACTGTCGCTACGGTATTTTAAAACAACGTTGCAAATTTCAGTTGCAGTTGTAAAAAGAAAACCCAAGAATCTGACACGTAGACAAAAAAAAATACCTTGTCCGGTGGCAAAAGCTGCTGGTGGCTCTAGGAGTGGCAGTACCGTCGTAGCCATCGAAACTGTGTTACCTCCCCTGGTTGGCGAGTGACTAGGGCAAGGTATCGCACGTGCTTTCACCCGTTGTATGTAGAGAATTGTAATGTTTGACTCCTTGTCATCCCTCCCAGCAAATGAACGGACATCTAGTCATACGATATTGTAGGTAAAAACTTGCTGTTTTCCTGTTGATTCTTGCCTTGAATATATCATGTGAGTACCAAATTCTCCAAGCTCTCTTTTCTCATTATGGGTCTCAAGAATATCAATTGTCTCTTCCTGATACTATGTAGATATTTTTCATTTACTTATGAATATTTGTGACAGATTAAGGTCACATTGGATGGGCCTAGGGATTTACCCCTTCAAAAAAACGACTAAGATAAAATTGTGATGGTGCATTAATGTTTTGAGCAACTCATCTGTACCTTTTTTTCCGAGATGTAATGATGGTGGGCACAAGATTCTAACAGTTGTGAGGCCTTAATGTTCAGTTTCTTCTTCCAGGTGTCATGTCTCTTAAGGACGTTGATGATTATTTCTCTGCACAATTTCTTGCCTTTTGTAACTCTTAGTAAATTTTAATTTCTGCAATCTCCCCTAAACGCTGTTTTGTCATCCATTTACATACGCACAAGAAATTTCAACACTCTTTTTCTATTAAATATGTGTCCTTTTTGTTTTCATTTTATCTAAACCTTCCTCGTCGTTCACATGTTCCCTCCATGGTATTCTCAGCATCCCCGTCTCTAATGCGTTTACTTATATCGGAAAAATAGAATGATAAATGCACATAAACGCATATAATATTTAATAAAATTTTGAATGAAATTAATTGCCTTTTTTTAAAGAATAATTATGACAGTTTTAAACAGCAGAGAACATGAAATAAAAGAAATTAGTTAATCTTTAGCGAAATGTCTTTATGAGCTTCACAAACATTTCACCGTACAGAAACAAACAACCAATCAGAGAGCTGCATTTAAAAAAAAAAAAAAAACAAAAAAAAAACAATTAACGGTCGTGTTCTCGATGTTGTAAATTTCAAAATCAGTTCATGTGAATTTATGTGCGGACTTAGTATAAAACCATGCCACGTGATCACATATTATGCATTCACATCATGCAAATTTAATTTCCTATAGTCTTAAGCTTAGATCCTCCGTAAACAAGTAAAAGTCCGAAACCCCAAAATGAGTTGACATCCTCGCCTCAGAAAGATCTGCGTAATACCTCTTTTATTTGTCCCGTCCCTCAGGGCGTAAGCGATCATGGCTATCCATAATTCCCTGTCCATCGAAGCTTTTAATAAACTTTGTCTTTCTGTTATTACTCCTAAACGCTGTTCCGCCATCCACTTCCTCGGGGACACTAAGTATGTTACGCGTTGTTTTCCTCTGTCACTCTTGTCTTCTATCTGTTTATCAGAATTTCCAAGCCTTCCTTCCTCATTATGTGCCCCAGAAATTTCAACTGTCTCTTCCTAATGTTAAGTTTAAATCTCCTTTTTATGTCTATTTTCTCTGAAACATCGTCTTTGGTCTCATGTTCAGTCCATGGTATCCTCAGCACTCTTCTGTAGAACCACATTTCTGTTGCTTCAAGTCTCTCTTCTTCATTTTTTGGGAGAGTGTTCAGCACTCATTGCCGTACAGGAGGACATATATCTCGTAATAGTTAAGTACTATTTTCCTTTTGTCTCGCGAAAGTTGTCTATTTCTTAGTAGTCTGCTAATCTTATAGGATTTTTTCCCACCGTCTTCAAATGAACCGCTACTAATCACTTACTTTTTCCCACGCGCTGACGCCCAAAGACACTATAAGAAAGTTTAACCGATAACTTTCTTCTCTATGTAGACTTATGGCCATATAGCGTGGAAACGCCGGTTCCCGTACGATCACAGAATTTAAGCAAAGCTGAGCCTGGTCAGTACCTAGATGAGTGACCGTTTGGCAATACCAGATACTGTGAGGTTGGATGTGAGGATGGTGTAATGTATAATGGCTCTGAATTGTTAATCGGAGAGTGGAGTTCCAGTTTCTGTTAGGTCCTTTATATTTGATTAAGCGCAAAACACTTGGCTTATGTAAGAAATCCCCTGAATCAATCAATAAAACAAGCTATACTTGTAAATCTACTCTCTTATACGCGCATGAAAAGCAATACCTTTTATTTGAATTCAAAGAATTAATAAAAAAAAACTTATTTAAAATCGTTCCTCTTCTAACAGAATTTAAATTGCACCAAAACACTTTGCCTCATTTCATTTTTAATTTATATTTGAAACATGTATAAAATTATCATTCATATATATTTTGTCTTTACGTATGGACTATTATTATGATCAGTTTTAACCCGTGAAAAAAATCACGGTTTTCTTAATTTAATATTCTGATGAATTTTAAATCTTATGCTAATGACTGAATAAGCCCAGGGTGAGTTCTACGACAATAAAATATCTGTAGAAATTCCCCAATCGCTACGTTAAATATTTGAGTTTTTATCATTTTAACAAAATATTACAATAACAATTATAAATATGTGTGCTGATTTTCATTTTAAGAAATGGCTACAAATGAAAAGATTTGAAAATGAAATTGTTTCAGCCATTAAACATTTCTATCTTCCTTTCTTTCATTTTCTCACTGAAACCAAATAGGACTTTAACCTCTCTTTCCACGCGATCAAAACGGAATAGTCTGAGATATTGACAGGAGATGTTAAACTCGTCTATCTGCCCTTCTTTCTCCCATTTTCTCACTGAAACAAAGTAGGGTCCTTCACCCACTTTCTACGCTATGAAAATGGAACAGTCCATCATTCATGAGGGAATTGTAGGACATAGCAGTCGTGCGAGTTAATGAAGGGATGGACAAACACAATAGGATTATTATGATTATTATTTCGAGATTGTTGCATCTTGAAATTCGCTAAAGAATTTTGTTCAGGGACTCAGGATTAATCTAAATGGCTTCTGGTAATATATGAATATTGTGTTCCCTACATTTTTTCAGAAATTTCTCGAAATAAAAAGAGATAAGGCAACGTCTTTAGAATGAAAGGGAAGAGGACTGAACTGCTATTTAAAACCTAATCTCTTTTATAGCAGTGACAAATTCTTAACAGATGAAGAGAGACTGAAAGCGACAGATAGGTGGTTCTGACGCCAATACGTAGAATAAAACAGACTGAAAATGTGAGTAAGAAAAAAGATTTAAGTAGTCTAGTAACTGGAAGGAAAAAAGCTTTTACTAATGAAAAAAAAAACGGAAAATTTCTAGTCTATATAGTGTAGAAAGAGAGATTCCAATTTACGAAAAATCTTACAAGCAACATAACCAAATGTAAACACGGGGTTTTCATTTCTCTCTTTTTTACGTTTTTTTTTTGCGGGGGGTTATGCTACGAATCACTATTATGCAGTTACTGTACATAACCTGTGTCATGGAATTAGGACATTGACTATTACAAATATATTGTAAAAGAAATATCCTTCTTTATTCATCCCCTTTCTTTTATCTTGATTTTAGAATTGGAACTACTTTCAAAACTCTCTAAATCCAGTTCAGTGTAACCCGGATATAAGAGAGTTGTCGGGACCGGAGAAGTCGTCTCTTATATCCGGGTTTCTCATATATCCGGGTTTGGTCTATTTTATATACATTAACACAGGCTCTAATTTGGGATCAGAGAAAATCTCTCTTATATCCGGGTTTATCTTATATCCGGGTTACACTGTACTTTCATATGGCAGAGTTTCCCCAGCTTTCCATTGCATTAGGAAAGCCCCTCTCATTTGTCATTAAAACCAGCTACGATATAAGTATTACCTCTTAACCAGTGTCTACAGGTAATTCAGCTAGTTTTCTATAAATCTTGTTAACTAGCCCTAAAATAAATTTAACTGAATATATCAAAAGCTTAGATAGAGTCAGGCTTGATTTCTAGCGAACAATACATTGAATATATTCACAGTTCCCCAAACGAAATTAACTTGTTTTCGACAGCGAACTTCGGTAAAACTTATTCTTTCACGTCACGTTTATCAGAATGTAATGTGAGAATTGAAAACAGAATACACAAGAGCACAAGACATGCACAATACAATTGTTTAATAACTGTTGATGCATAAAATATGCTAGAGAAATTAAATAAAATTGTATAACAGAATATTATAAAAAAAAAGAAAACATGTATAATTGATTCGAGAGTCAATTACGTGCAACAATTAGAAACCTGACAGTCTAACATGCCTGATTCATTTTTACTCATATATAACAGCTGCCACGTCGTTTAAAAGTATGACTGTCGCAAGATATCATTGCAAGACTCCGTTGTGATTTATAATATCAAGCAATGACTGTGTATTATTTTTTTTAACGAGACGTCATTAGCGTTACGTCAATCCCGCTCTCTAAGGAAGAATATCATATATCCAAAAGAAAACCTCATTGGATTCTGCCAGGTCGCAGGTGTTACATTTTAATGCTTTCCTTCTCTTAGCCGGATTTCCTAACGAAGGCTAGGAGGTTAAAGACTCCCGGTGGGCTTATCACACACCTTGACACCATCTCATGTACTTCTTCATCCCCGCACCTGTGTTAGATCATCGCTGGTCCCATGAAACGATTCATTTGCCATTTGAAAGGTATGGTTTCTATTCATTATTGTCTTAGGCACTCCCTTAAAAAGAAAACCTGTTTAGAAAACTGTCTTAGTCTTCGATAACCCTACTGCGCGGCAGGTAGTACCGAGTTACGTTAATACTAAATAATACTCCTAATATTACTACGAGCTGTATATCCTAACGAAGGCTAAGCGGTCCAAGACACCCAGCGGGCTTATCACGCGCTTTGACACCATCTTCGGTATTTCTACATCCCCACACCTGTACTAGATTGTCGCTGGTCCCATACAAGGATTCATACGTCCCTTGAAAGGTTTGGTTTCTATTCATACTGGTTGTCTTACTCACACTCTACAAAAGAAAACCTGTTTGGGAAACCGCCTTAGTCACCGATAGTACGGAAGTTAGTAACGGGCTACATTAAAACAAAATTATATTTATAGTACTAATACTAGGTAATACTCATAGTATTAATATTAGATAATACTCGTATAATGGCCCAGTTCATAAATAAATTTTATCCTCAAGTGCCCAGTTTAAGGGCATTTAAACAGATGTCTGTTTAGGTTCAATCATATTTTATTTATGGCGGGTTTCGACTTTCGATGTAAAGAGTAATTGAGACATTTTTATCGTTTTTTACACTTGGATTACCGCTATAGCCACACCATCATTCGTTCACCAATATTTATTCCAATCGTGTTAAAATTTCAAGGACACGCGGCCCAGTGGATAAAAGCGTTGGTTGGATCTAGTGAGCTGTGAGTTCAATACGGCAGTTGTGAACAAAAAACTTGGAGAGTCGAGTTAAAGGGAGATAACTGACGCATTAGGAAGAGGCATGGCTCGTGGAGCTAGAAAATCTACTTCGATGGATGAAATAAATGTTTCAGTTCGAAATTCTAATCACCTGAAGAAGGCTGGGATGTACAACGGCCGAAATGTCGTGAACATGGAATGTGATATGTTAAACAATTCTCCGTGAATTTGTTGCTGTCTGGCATTACATCTCTTTGGCTTAACCTTCTCTCTCTCTCTCTCCCATTTTTTCTACACAGCTACCGTTATCAGTCTGTCTTTCTTTTACTTTTCTTCTTTTTTTTCCTTCCCTGCTGACCTGTTTATTGTTGTTGTAGGGGGCGTGTGTCTATTAGAGATTTAACATTTTAACTAAACCTTCGGCTATTAATATATAAAATTATTTTCGGATCGGTTCGCTAAGCTTTTATAATTTTAAGAATCGTTCGCGCGAACTAGTGCGAAATGGTAGGATGCCACCACTGTATGTAACCGAATACTACCTGCCGCGTCGTTGGTTTATCCGCGACGAAACTGTTTCCATCTTCAAGAATTTCCAGTAAAGGGGATCGCTAGACACCTAGTAGATATAAATGCAAGACTTGTCAAAGAGAGGTTGAATTTTCATTTGGGGATCAACGGACCTCTAGCATAGAGTGTGAGACCAGTCTCCATAGCTATGTAAGCAGTTAGTGCTGTAACGACATGCCATCATATAGGACAAAAGATAATAGCCAGGGGCCAGGGTGGTGGATGATACCGATGAAAACGCCACGTGTCCATAAAACAGCATTTTTCATTTTTTTTTTTTTTTTTTACTGCCATCCACATCAACAACCATATTTTGCATTGTGAGCCATTATACAATCTTGCAATAAATCAAAGACAAACTCAGTTCACTAAGTTTATTTCTTTAGCATCATGTATATTTCTTATGATCCGCACATATTGGAAATTCATGTATCTATTTGCATTATCTATTCGTATGAATAAAAACATTATTACTTTAAACAAAACTAGCCAGTTCTTCAATTTCACTAAAACAAGAGCCAACTGCCCGAAAATTCGGAACCTTCAAATGAACACAACACATCATCTTATTACCTTAGAAAGAATATACCGCTACTCGACTCCGGTATTTCGTGTAATTCACTTTTAGCCCTGGAATTAGATGCAAATAAAATATTCAACATGTTTCACGGCTTTCACAGTCCACGAAGACGAACGCAGTGCCAACCTACGTAACTAATTTTTGGCGCGAGATCGTTTTGTGAGAGAGAACTGACGTCAATCAGTCCGCATCGAGTTTGACGAACAAAATACATAAACACAATAAGAACAGACAATATATATATATATATATATATATATATAATGCGAGCTTACCTCTGTGAAAAACTTGTGATGATTTATGACTGCTGTGCAACATTTTGAGTTATTTTTATTATACACTTTGCTCTCACTTGCTTATTTTTTTTTTTCTTTTGTTTTTACTGCGACCCGTTTTATTTATCTCACGACCCACTAACGGGTGGGGATCCACA